TGTGTGTGTGTGTGTGTGTGTGTGTGTGTGTGTGTGTGTGTGTACACATGGTAGGGCACACGTAGAAGCCATAGGACAACATTGGAGTCATTCTTTGGATGCTGGTCACCTTAGACTTTGAGACAGGCTCCCATTTGCCTGGAACTCATTGAGTCATCTAGGCTGTGAACCCTGGGAGCTCACTTGTGTTTGCTCCCCAGCGCTGAGACTGCAAACATACACCGTTGCGTTTGAGGTTTTTTTCTTTTTTCTTCGTTTTTCGAGACAGGGTTTCTCTGTGTAGCTTTGGAGCCTGTCCTGGAACTCGCTCTGTAGCCCAGGCTGGCCTTGAACTCACAGAGATCCGCCTGCCTCTGCCTCCCGAGTGCTGGGATTAAAGGTGTGTGCCACCACAGCCCGGTGAGGTTTTTTTCAATGTGATTCTGGGGCTGGAGCTCGGGTCATTGTACCCTCCTGAGCCATCTCCTCAGCCTTGTCCCTGTTTGACTCGTCTGCTAGTCTGGTGACCTTTGGAGGTGCTGGGCTGTGGACTGGAAGGACAGTGATACATCTTTTTCTTTCTTCCTCTGGAGAAATGTTTTACCACTGTTGACCCCTGCCCAAGTCCAAGTGGTAGGAAGAGAGCACCCTCCATCCGCTGGACCCCCTCAGTGCCGCCTGGGATGCAGCTGTGGGTTGGACATGGGAAAGTGCAGTAGACAGATGAACTCTAGAATGCTCTGAGAGACAACCAGCATGCTGCATGCTTGTTAGCCCCTCTGTCAAGTGCTGAGCTGGGGCAGTGGCACCACTGAGTTACATGCCGGGCCTGGATAGGCACTCTGGGTTGCTCTTGGCTGTGCAGAATGGACTGCTTGTCTATTCAAGGGAGCCGATTTCCTGGCCCCAGCTCATCTATCATTCGAAGTGTCCATGGTCTGTAGGCACAAAGACCCAGGAAAAGGGGTGCTTGGTGTTCCCAGGCTTCGTGTCAGCAAGCCCTGAATTGGCTAAACGGTGCTAGGGGAAGGGCACAGGGGAGGGACGTCAGGGCTGGATTCCAGGCATTATGTTCTTCTCTATTGGGCTGGCCCAGGGCCCAGGCCTGTAACTGTGTGTTGAGTCTTGGCCTTGGCTGTGACAGATTTATTTCTTACTGAAGAATAGGCTCTGGCCATACCACACACAGAAGTCACCTATGTAGGCTTAGAGCTACAGTGATTTCAAGGCTGATGTAGGGCTCCTCAACAGGAACCCAGGCCAGTGCTGGGGTGGGGTGGGGTGGGGAGCCTGCCTTTTGTACGTAGTGACTTAGGTAGCCTTTTCATAGCCCCTCCAGCCTTCTTGGCTCCCACCTGTAGGGCGAGACTTGCAGTTTACGTGCCCATCTCCTGCTCTCACCCCGACCCAGCCTGGTGCAACACATGCTGCCATTACCTGCCTTGGTCTAGAGATGTTTGACTGCCGGGGGTGGAGGGGGGGGGACACTCCACCTTGGCCATTTCCGACTAGCTCAAAAGATAGGACACAAGGCGTTGCAGGGTCCCCTGTCCCCCAGACACACCTTTCAGAGACTCGGGCCCTGTTTGTGAAGCGCGGAGGCCCTTTCTAGGCTTCTTTACTCACCTACTATGCCTTGTAAATAAGGGCTAGAAACGAGGTTCAGGAAAAAACCTACTTGGCAGCTGCTTTAGTTTCTGGAGCCCACTCTCCTTGTATTTGTTTATTTTAGTTGAGGGGTACATTACTGATCGTAAAAGAAAGCATGGTGGAGAGGGCCAAAGAGAAGACTGAGTGAGTGCCCATTATGTAAGCATGAGCCTGAGTTCAAATCCCCAGTGCCCAGGCAAAAAGCCAGGCCTGGTCCCACCTGTACCTGAAACCCCAGTGCTGGTGGGAACAGAGTGCCAGGGCTGGCTGGCTGTGGGCCTGGCCCAAAAACAGCGACTTCCAGGGGCAGTGAGACACACTGTCTCGGGGCAGCAAGGTGGAGAGATGTGGAGAAAAGCTAAAATGCCCCTCTGGCCTCTCCGTTTGCCCATGCTCAAGCGTGGTTTGCATGCATGCACACACATGTGCAGACACACAGATACACTTGTACACACACACACACACACACACACACACACACACACACACACACACACACACGGCTTCACCAGGGTCAAAGCCGTAGAAGTGGATCTGTAAGTGTTGTGTCTGGAAAGCACCACTGGAAGCGGGGAGGCTGCCAGGCCTCCCACCCTTATCCCTTCCTCCTCCGGTGACACTCCAGCCTCCTTCCTGGACAGCTGTGTAAGCTGCTGTTCGCTCCTGATCATCTTTTCAGTCACCCAGGGAGGTCTTTGAACCTGTCTAGTCTATTCCTCCAGAAGCTAAATCTGGATTTATTGGGGAGCTGTGTAGAATCCCACATTTCCACATCTCCGTGATCCATTTTACCTTGGTAGCAGCTCAGGTGTCTGTCACTGACTTCCTCCCTCGTGTCATCCAATCTCTCTTTGTTTTTGTTGTTTTGTTTTGACAGGGTTTCTCTGTGTAGCCCTGGCTGTCCTGGAACTCACTCTGTAGCCCAGGCTGGCCTCGAACTCAGAGGTCTGCTTCTGCCTCCGAGTTAGTCCCTCTGTGGTTCCAGTCTAGTGCTCACTTCATTGTCTTTTATCCTTTCTGCTAAAAAAGAAAGAAAAGGAAACTAGCCATTCTGCAAAACCAGGGTTGCGAGAGAACAAGGCCAGGACCTAATTCCCAGGCCCATGAACTCAGTGTCTCACAGGGGACAGGGACATCGAGGCTCTCCCTCCCTGGCATTTGTCATGTTTTGCTGCTGGCCTCTGCCACTTTTTTTGGACATCTCGGTGGGGTGACAGGCTGTGGAGCTGCCTCAGGATGCACCAGCCACCTAACAGCTCTTCTAGTTTGTCCAGAGCGGGGGGGCAGAGGGGGGGCGCGGGGGGCCGGGGGGAGGGGGCGGGGGAAGGGGAGGGGGCGGGCAGGCGGGCGATAGAGCAGAGCATCCTGGGGCCTGGCTTCTAGAGTTCTAATCCTAATGCTTGTGTTTATCACTTGTGTGACAGCGAGTTTGTTTGTCTTTTGGAACCTCAGTTTTCTCATTGTGGAATGGGTTGCTGCTAGCTCTGCCTCATGGAAATGGTTGTGAAGATTAAATGGGACCGGGCATGTCACAGGCTTAGTTAACACTGCTTGACATTTGGTGGGGCTCAAAATAGGATTGCTTATTAATATCTTGTGGTAATTCTACAACTTGGCCTCGGGAATGTGGGGTCTAAGAGTTGTTAAATAACCACCTGCCACCTTCTCTCTGCAGGGTATCAAAAAACCATTCACTGAGGTAATCCGAGCCAACATTGGGGATGCCCATGCTATGGGCCAGCAGCCAATCACCTTCCTTCGCCAGGTGAGCCAGCCCTGGGGAACAGGCCTCCTGGAGCCCTAAACTAGAACCTGGGAGGGGCCAGTACAGCAAAACACTAGAATCCCTGAGGGATGTGCCACAGAAGTAGCAGCCCTTTCAGGCTCCTGATGTCCCCTATTTTTCTCAGCAATCTCCTTCCAAGGGTATCAAAAAATGCCTTAACCCATTTGGGGTGGTCTGGGGTAGGAAGCTTCCAGGAAGGCTCTTCTTCGGTGCTCAGGTGGGGGTGGGGTAATGCCATGGTGAAAATACAGCCCAAAGGGAGCCCCTGGGTTTGAGTGCTGCCTGGCCTTGTGCAAGTGGAAATCATCAGGGTGCCTTGGAGGGCAGATGGAGGTCTTCCTCCAGCCCAGCAGAGAGTTTGGGCTATAGCTGTTACTGCTTCCCGCTCTCAGTCGCCTGCAGTCTAGCTCCTCTCCCTCGTAAGGGTTCTAGGTGATGGCGGGTTTCAGTATTTATGTCTGAGCATCAGTGACAAAATGTTGCATGAGCTAACGGTGCCGGATCAACAGGCTAGAAAGAGGGAAAGCATGGTAGGAAAATGCCACCGGGCACCCTGATCAGGAGTAGGAGACCTAGCTATGGAAAGCTTTTTCCTGGAGAAGGATTGGGGCTGTTTTGGAGTACTGTGTGTGGTTAAGGTACAGGCAGGGCAGGTAATTAACTTTCCCTTTTCCCTACTGCCTTCAGAAGTGGCACAGAGTGGGGTCCCCTAGCCTTGTCCTGTGGGGACTAAAAGGCCTCAGCCACAGCCCCTGTAAACAGAGGAGAGCATACAGCTCGTCCTGGGCCGAGGAGTGCCCTGCCACCGTTACCGCTGACCTTCATAGGACTGTGGATATGAGTGGATTAGGGCCCAGGATGCGGAAGTGGGGAGGCAAGCAGTAGCTCTGTCAGAGCAGAAGCAGGAGGAAGGCCGACAATCCTAGATTGTCAGCAGAGGTTCCAGATGTGGACCTGGTCTCAGGTCGTCAGTATGTTCCCAACAGTACTTACCTTTCCCGGCTCTCAAACTCATCCCCAAAGCCAACCCAATCCTGGACCCCAGTTGTCCTAAGTTGTCTTGCATGGCGTCAGCCACTTTGTCTGCCTCCTCTGGTCTTCATGATGCCCCTGGGAGACGGGTAGGCTAGACTATTGCTCATTATCCAGAGGAAGAAAAGCCAAGAAGCGGGTTGGTCACCTGACTGGTATCAGAGCTTTGCCCTGTTCTCCCCTGTAGTGAGCCTGGCTTGGTTCCTCAGCTGCCAGCTTTAGGCAGGTGTGCTGGGCTTCACTGGCACCTTGTCACACACGGCCTTGGTTAATCCTCTCAGTCTGTGTGTTTAGGGTGATTTTATGTTACAGGGAGGAAAAAGCCTTTCCGGCTTTCGGATCTGAAGATTAGTCTAGAGGAAGAACAGGCTGAAAAGGACTTCAGGCTGTGTGTCTGCAGGGGGGTTACAGCTTTCTTCCTGTCAGCAAGGTTTTGCCGCCTACAGAGGCCTGGCCCCTTACCCAGGAGACCTTCTAGTTCTTATGATCCTGGATGTTTGGGTCCAGTGTTCTTCATGGATGAGTGGAGGCCAGGGTTGTGTAGCACTCCCACACTCTGCCGTGGCTCCTCTTCTGGCACCTCATCCTTGGGCCAAGCCTGGGGAGTGGTGCCTTGGCCATCAGAACCTCTGCTGCTGCTGCAGAGAGCCAGCATTTTCCTGTTTGCTACCCTCAGCTCCCACAGCCTTGGCTCTGGCGGAAAGGCATGCTGCGGCGTGGCGTTTGGAGTTGTGGTCTTCTCATTGTACCTTGCCCAGTGCCCTCTGGGCTTGGGGTACCATGTTATAAGCTCAGCTGTACCCTGTTTCTTTAGGTGATGGCCCTCTGCACCTATCCAAACCTGCTAAGCAGCCCCAGCTTCCCAGAAGATGCGAAGAAGAGAGCCCGGAGGATCCTGCAGGCCTGTGGTGGAAACAGCCTGGGTGAGACCCAACTTGCAAGGTCCTCAAGGATGTGAAATGAATGTGGGTCCCAGGAGGGGTCTGGGCCCATCACCAAGCAAAGGGCTATGAGGTGGCTGTGCTGTGTGTGTGGACAGTGCTGATGTGCAGAGTGTGTGCAGATGTGGCTGATGTGCAGAGTGTGTGCAGATGTGCCTGCTCTTCCTCCCTCTAATTTACTAAGTCAGCGGTATACATGCCATCTTCTGGTGGGTCGGATACTCAAGTACGGGTACCTCCATTCCTCTGGATTTGGGTTTGTTAGGCTGGCAGAGGTTTATTTAGTTCGGTGACCAGCTGGAGGCTAAATAAAAGGGAAGTTCCCAGCCTTGCTCAAGCTTCTTGTGTCTGTGGCATTGTCTGAGAAATGGCTGCCGCTTTCTGAGGACTGGAAGCATCCAGGTCCCTTCTGCGCCGCTTTGTTTGGCTTTCTTCTGTTTAAGTGTCCCGGTTACCCCTCCCACTCTGTTGAATCCCTTCCAGCCTGCCTCTGTTCCCCTTTGTGGAGAGTCCAGGCCCAGGCCCAGCAGTCTGCCTCCTGACAGAAGCAGGTGCCCTCTGGCTCCATGCGAGGAGGCTCTGACTTTGACCTCTGTAGATGTGAAAATGATATTCTCCCTCCCTACCCTGCTTAGAGTCCGCCGCTTGGCCCCTAGCTCTTTGTTCTCATCTCATTTTCTTTCCTGTATATTCCCCCCCCCCACTTTCCCCAGTGCCTGCACAGCATGTCTCAATCAAAATTCTAGTTGTTCTTAAAGCTTTCTTAGGAAATGTGCCCTAATGTTCTGAGACCTAGAATCAAGAGCGAGACAGATATTTTTCTGAATTGCTCAGTCAGGGAACAGCCCCTTGGTCTCTGCCTCCCTCCTCAGTCTCCTCCCCCTTTTCTGCTCTGTCTCTTACGGGCTCTGTGCTTACCTGCTGGCCATGGTGACCCTATCGGCACTCTCGGTTTGGGCACTGTGGTATCTCTCTCAGGAACAGCCAGTGCCCCCTGCTTCCCTGCCTGCCCACCTGAGGTCTAAATCATGTGGCACAGAAGCATTTCTTGTCCTGTACTCTCTGCCCAGCACAGAGGACAAATGTATTTCTCAGAGACCCGATGGCCCTGAGATCTCCAGAAGTTCCACCGGAGAGGCAGGAGAAGGGGAAGGAGAGTTTGCTTTAAGTGTGTCTAATGTGAGGGGTAGGGAATGGGCCTTTGCTCCACCCACTAAACCTTATCTGAGTTTTGTCCCTCCTTGTCTGTCAGCTAGAGCTAGGGGGTAGGTGAGAGGCTATGTCTATGGAAGGGTTGTCTTGGGGTGTTATAGCGAGACACCAGTAGACCATAAGGGGTTTGTGGCCTACACTGGGCTCTGTCCCAGGAACTCATGAACACAGATGAGGGAAATGCATTCTGGGCCGTCCTTCTCATCTTTCAACTAGGAAGGATTTTGTCTCCATCTCCGGGACTTGTCAGAAAGACTGATGTGTCTGCTAGAGCCTCTTATTAGATGGAGAGAGGTAGCCAGGTCCTGCCCACTGCAAGGAACAGTTAGTGTGGTTACAAGGGTAACACGATGGGAGGTGTCACGTTGGCCGGCTGAGCCTTCGGCAGCCCAAACTGCTACCTACTATAGAAGTAAAAGGAAGTGGAGTGTGTCAGTGTCCTAGGAGCGTGCTGACTGGAGTATGAATTACTAAATATGTACATGAAGTTTTCTAATTTCACACATTTTTGTTTTGTATTATGCATATGGGCATTTTGCCTGCAGGCATGCCTGTGCACCATTTGCAAGTCTTGTGTCTGTGGAGGTAGGAGAGGGCATTGGGTCTCCTGGAACTTGGAGTTATAGATGGTTGTGAGCCACCATGTGGGTGCTGGGAGTTGAACCCAGGTCCTCTGGAAGAGCAGTCAGTGTTTTTAACCACCGAGTCACCTCTCCAGTCCGTTTTGAAATGTTTAAAATGTATGTGTTTATGCCTGCTTCTTTCTCTGTGTGTGCCCCAGGTGTGTGCAGTGCCCATGGGGCCAGAAGGGGTGTTGAATCCCCTGGAACTGCAGTTACAGGGGGCAGTGAGCCACCGCATGGGTGCTGAGGATTGAATCTGGGTCCTCTGCAAGGACAGCTGGTCCTCCTCACTGCTGAGCTGTTTTTCTAGGCCCTGTGCATGAAGTCTTAAAGTTCACCCATGTTTTTCTCATGACCTTTAAAATCATTTCTTACTTGGTAGGGCGTGGTGACGTGCCCTTTAATTCCAGTAGTCATGAGGCAGAGTCAGGCAGATCAATTTGAGATCAACCAGAGCTAAGTAGAGACACCCTGTCCAAAAAAAAAAAAAAAAAAAAAAATTGTTTCTTGCTAGTGCTTTCTTTATTGTCCATCTGACAGGTAGTTCAGTCCTTAGGTTGTGTCCTGGATGCTAACTACCCAGGAGGAGGTGGGAGCTGTGAGCTCTGTCTAGCCTGACTCTGGGCACATAGCATGTACCAGGTGCTATTCCTCACACTGAGGGACACAGGTGATTGGGGTGAATAGTTTCTGTGCTCATGGAGGTACTGCCACTTTTGAGAGAAGCAGACACTGACGATAGTCAGGCCAGGAGAGGCAGCTTAGCCGTTAAGAGCATGTTACGTTAAGTACTGTGTTTGCAGAGGACTGGAGTTCAGTTCCCAGCACCCATGTCAAGGCTGCTCAAAGCTGCCTTTAACTCTTGCTCCGGGGGTAGAGGAGTGTCCAGCGATTCCGGCTTCAGCAGGCACCTGCACTCACGTGCATATACCCACACATGGATACACACACACATATGTAATTCTTAAGAAAATAATTACTAGGAATTTTATATGTCATTCCCAGCTTTCATGACTTATTGGAGAAGGGACGTAAAGCTATAGGATCAAGGGGTCCAAATGTAGAGGAAGAGTTTAAGAAAACAGATTGGAGCTTGGTGTGATGGTACACACCTTAAATCTCAATGCTCAGGAGGCAGAGGCAGACAGTCCAGTGTGGTTTACATGGTGACTTCCAGGCCAGCCTGGGCTAGATGTAGAGACCCCGTCTCAAAACACCAGAAAGAAAACAAGGGGACAGGGTGACATTCAAGCTCAAGAGGAGGTTGAGAAGAAGAGAATTTGCAGATGCCTTCCAGGTGGGCGCAGCCTGGGTAAAGACCTTGAGGTGCAGGACAGTGTGATCCAGGGAAAGGACTAGGTTATTCAGGGTGGCCAGGGAATCTGGCAATGGTGATGTGCCAGGTTATAAACTAAAGAGTAGATGAGCACTCACTCAGGGGAGCGACTTCTAAGCAGAAGTGTGGTGTGGAGGGGCCAGTGGTGACCAGATACTCGAGGATCAGTCTCTAGGATCTGTATTGGTGCCACTTAAGAGTCCTGAGCTATTTTGGAGTACTAGTGTTAACCCATTCTCTCAAGTTCTGTAAAACCATGTGTAAGGAACTAACTAAAGCATAGAAACCCCAGATCTAATGGGTACTGGTGTCATAAATCATCTCTGTATCTCAGGTATGGGCACTACTTGAGACATTAGAAGCCAGGGCTTACCGTATAATAGATGCTCAGTAAACATTGGGTGGAGAGTTGGGTGGATGGATGGATGAGCCCAAATAAATAGGTAAGCAGCTTGCCACAGTTCCAGAGCCCAGAGCAGCAGGAAAGAGGCCCTACTTAGTGTCCACGGCCATCTTTATTCCTAGTTAATTACATGGATGTCATACCCACTTTGTTGAATGAGACATCTTGCCTCTAATCATTATCTTGCTTTTCTTGTCTCACAGGATCTTACAGTGCCAGCCAGGGTGTGAACTGTATCCGGGAAGATGTGGCAGCCTTTATCACCAGGAGAGATGGTGTGCCTGCAGACCCAGACAACATTTACCTGACCACTGGAGCTAGCGACGGTATTTCTGTATGTGCAAAGATGGTCCATTCTTATCCCAGAGTTCACTCGTGTGAAGAGCAGCCTTGCAAGTTAGGACTGTTTGAACTAGCTGGCCAGGAGACAGACTGGGTGGGCAGAGTGGGTCATCCGCTGGTACCCCTGTCCCAGTAGCTTCTGGTGCCTGATAGTTTCATGACCCTGGAACAACTGCAGTTTCAGTTGCCCTGCAGGGATCCACCGGCAGGTCTGACTGGTAGGGAGCTATAGGAAGCTTGAGGGTGCCCCTCGCTCGGCCTCTCTGTTGTCAGCACTACTGGTGTTCCTCCTCTGCTAGGCATTGTGCGAGGTGCTGGGGAGATCTTAGGGAACCAGGTTCACCACTTGGCCTCTGCCAACATGCCAATGTTCTGTGACATTCTAGCATTAACATCATGTACATAAAGGTCAGCTCATGAGTTTTCTGTTCTGTAGTGAAGAGAAAGGCAAGTGCTGTACTGGTTGCAGCAGGGGCTGTAAGGCTCCTCTGGAAAAGTCTAAAAGATGCAGGAATGCTTGGGGAGGTGGGAGACAGGGGAGTTTTCTAAGCTGAAGATCATTGTATGAAAAGATCTTGATCTGGAAAGAGGCTTACTGTTTCAGAAATGAATTCAAGGTGGGTGAGCTCACACGGTGAGGGATAGTTACCAGAAATAGGACCAGGGAAACAAGTAATGGCGAAGTTCTGTAGGGTCCTGGAAGCCATGCTGAGGATTTAGGTCATCCCGAGAAGAATAGAGAACCTTTGGCACTTGAGTAAAGGGAGGGAGGCCACATGAGTCAATCCATAGTCAGTTCAACTCGGGCCTGGGCAGAAGGAGCTAAGGAACCTGAAATGAAGGAGCCCATAAGAGGTGAGAGAAGAGCTAGCCCAGGCTAGCAGCCAGTCAGCAATGGCATGGGCTATGTGGACTGGAATCAGTGGTTACGTGGCTGATGAGTCAATGATGACACAAGGGCAGGTGGACTGGAATCAATGGTTACGTGGCTGAAGAGTCCATGATGGCAGGTGGACTGGAATCAGTGGTCACATGACTGAAGAGTCCATGATGGCAGGTGGACTGGAATCAGTGGTCACATGGCTGAGGAGTCCATGATGGCAGGTGGACTGGAATCAGTGGTCACATGGCTGAGGAGTCCATGATGGCAGGTGGACTGGAATCAGTGGTTATGTGGCTGAAGTCTAGAATTCTAGGCTTGGGGAGAGGGCTCGTGGCCTCCTGGGGTTTTGTTGTTGGCTTGTCCTGTTATTTCTTCAGTGCTGAGGATCAAATCTGGCCCTCAGTGTGCTAGGCAAGTGCTGTACCATTTAGCTGCACTCACCCTGGCCCTCCATCCACTTTCGGCGTGTTTCTCTCTGGCTCCGGCTCTGTACTAAGTGCCATTAACTCACGTATTCTCCCGACTTGAGCTGTTGTGATTATCTTTTCCATCTTATCGGGGCTCTTGGTCTCCTGACCTCACAGGCTCTTGTTTTGATGTTGAGTGTTTGTTTCCCAGAGCCTGTAAGTAGAAGCATTGATCCCATGAGGAAGTAGGCCCAGAGCCAGTAAATATCATCATGCTTTCCAGTCTGGTGGGATTCTTGCAGCAAGGAATTGATCCTGAGGTGGACCCTGTGGCCACGTGTGAGATAGAAGGTCTTCCTGCAGAAGATTTTGGCTTACTAATTCAGTGAACTATTGCCACTTTCCCCAACGCCTCACTGGATGCCCGTGTTTTCTTAGGGTGTCTATAAATATGCGCCTTGCTTAGCGTGAAAACAGGTGAAAGTGCCACCTGGTAGCTGGTGATACCGTTTCAACACTCTCCTATTTAGAAGTCCATCCAGCCATGTGTGGGCAGCTGATGATTGTTGATAAAGTGGAGTTCAAATGAGAATATCGGGGTGAGGTCAGAACTAGGGCAAGACCGGCTGGGATACTGTTTTAGAAAGTGGTTGGTTGGTTAGGTCTTTGGGAATAGGATCTCACAGTGTAGCCCAGGCTGGCCTCAAACTCAAGCTGGTCCTGCCTCAGCCACCCAAGTGCTGTTATTATGCATCTGTTGCTCCATACCTATCAAGTGTCCAGTCCTTTACTCCATGCCATTCATATGTCGAGAACTTGAAGACACTTTGTGTTTTGCATTGCCTACAGCACCCCTCATGTTCCAGCTGAGGAAACAGGGAAGTGATGCAAACTTGATGCCACCACACTAGAAGCAGGCAGTCGGGTGGAGAGCTGGGACTGGGCCTCCTCAGGCTTGTCTGCTCATGGCCTCTTGAAGGATGAGGAGCAGCAGCAGGGACCCTGTAGATGTTACTTTGTGTTGCAGACGATCCTGAAGCTCCTGGTCTCCGGGGGTGGCAAGTCGCGGACAGGCGTGATGATCCCCATCCCACAGTACCCTCTGTACTCTGCGGTCATCTCCGAGCTGGATGCCGTCCAGGTGAACTACTACCTAGACGAGGAGAACTGCTGGGCCTTGAATGTGGACGAGCTCCGGCGGGCAGTGCGGCAAGCCAAAGACCACTGTGACCCCAAAGTTCTCTGCATTATCAACCCCGGGAACCCCACAGGTCTGCATTTCACTCTCTTGCCACTTTCTCGGGGACGTGGAGGGGCTGGTATGCCGGATGCATGACTCCGAAAGAATTAAGTGACACAAGGTTCTCTCTGTCCCAGTTTCCCAATTCACCCCACGTTTGCTATCAGCTGTGAAACTCGCCTCAGGCCACCTCGGGAGATGAGGAGCAGGCGGTTTTTTAGGGTTGTCTTACCAACAGGACCTGTTCTTTTTCCTATTTTACCTCCATTTGTAAAGACTCCCCTCCTCAGGTAATCCACACACACTGTCACCATCCAGCCGGGGGTGCATTTTATGTTTACTTCCTTTTGTTTTTCTCAACTGGCTTCAGAACGCCAGTGCGTGGAGTTTGGCTGGTTCCTTGAGAAGAAAATGCCGTATTAAAAACAAACAAAAGAAATAATAAGCCTGTTTCTAGACGTTGAAAAGCACCCCAAATTCTGCATGTTTTTCTTAGGAAAAAAAAAAAAGAAAGTATACAGTTCTGCCTGTTTTCGCTCCCAAGCTGCTGGCTCATGTGTCTCCAGGGCTATCTGGATGAGAGGACAGGAACTCCCTTCTCCTTTGTTGAGCTAAGTTGGATTGGGGCCAAAATACATCCGAGTTGATGGTGGAATCTGCTTCTCTAAAACGTGAAATGTTGCTTCAATCAGCTGAAAGCAGCCACTTTAATTCCTGGACGCAGCAAAGGTGCACCTGGTGCAGACACTGGTTTGGATGCTCCCGTGCCTTGTAGGAGGGGTGAAGAGTCTCTTCTACCCGTGTGCAGTCAGGGAAGTGACACAGAACTCTGTTCTCAATTAGGCTGTAGATCAATATCACAAAGCGAGCTTTGCAAGCCTCCCAGGCCAGTCCAAACGTCCATGTTCTTAATGCTGATGAGAACTACTTCCTTAGGACACTGGTTCCTAAATGTCTAGCTTGTTAAAGTGCAGAATGTGGACTCTGCTCACCACTGTTTTAATGACTGGGGTAGGGCTGGAGAGCTGGCGGGTCCACCCAGTCCAAGATGACGCTTGTGCTGGTCCCAGGGCCACACGTGGAACAGCAGGTTTGTCTGCTGAGTCGGCTCCTGAGTCAGTCCTCTTATGTCTGTGTCTTTGGAGACAGTGTATTCCTAGCTGGTCTAGCATGTGCTTTGTCATCCAGGCGGGCCTCAGAGTCACAGCAGTCGCCCCCCTCCTTCAGCCTCTGAGTGCTGGGATGATGGGCATATGCCGTTGGCCTGTCTTTTGGGTCAGGGTTTTCTGCTCTGGTATTTATGTAAATCTTTGTACCTCCCTGCCTGGGAGAACATACCTCCACCAAAGACTTGCCTATTCTAAGTAAAGGAATCCTGTGAATGTGTATTATAAGTAATTCTCTCTCTCTCTCTCTCTCTCTCTCTCTCTCTCTCTCTCTCTCTCTCTCTCTCTCCTTTGTTTGTTTGAGACAGGGTCTCACTCTGTAGCCTCTGCTGTAGACCAGGCTGGCCTCAAACTCACAGAGATCTGCCTGCCTTTTCCTCCCAAGTACTGGGATTGAAGACATGCGCCACCACACCCAGCCTTATAAGTAATTCTTAAGAAGAGTGACTTATGAGCAGGCGCCATCTGCCCTTGTTCCCTGGGGTTTTAATGTTTGGAAGTCAGTCAGCTGCTAGGAGAGGGGTGGTAGGAGTGGACGCTTCCCAACCACATATCATAACCAGCTTGGCTAAAAGCTGTCAAAGTAGCCTGAGAGGTTAAGCCAGGGTGCTTTGGCTTTCAAGAGAAAAACCAGCTCCAGACGGAAAGGCCCTGTGGTGGGGCTTGAAGTCTGGTCGTAAAGTGGCACCTGAATCAGCACTACTGGGGAAGCGATCTCAGGTCACATCTCAGCTCTGCTGTCATCGACTGAGTTGGACTCCTTTCGCGAATCTGTCCTTGGAGGGCCTTCAGCAACTCCATCCCTTGCTCACCAGATGAAACCTTAGAGTCCATCTTTTCCTGTGATTTCACTGAGTCCTGCGTACTGGCCCATCTCAGAACCAGTCAAATCACTAGGACTTTGATAAGACAGCTCTTTTATTTATTCCCTCCTAGATAGGCTGGCCTAGAGCTCCCAACCCTCCTGCTTCGGCATACCCAGGGCTTGGATTAGAGGTGTGTGTCTAGGCCGGCACCATTCCTTTATCTCCTGCTGGGTGGGGGTGGGGGTCTCCACAAGACAGCCGTGGTATGCTACAGGCATGAGGAGGTAAAATCACCGATGCCCCTGTCAGTTTGTGGGGAATTCCTTAGGCCATCTTCTGGTGTGATGCATCAAAGCTGTGTCTTGTGTCACCCCAAGCCAGGCATAGCCGGCCCCTATAAAGTCATCTAGACTTTCTCGTATTCTCCACAGCTGTTCATGTTTGTCTCTTCGGTGTTTCGTGGCTGTGCCCTAAGTGATTGCTGAATCCCAGGCCCTGGCTAAACATAAGCTTGTCTTTATCTTCAAGTGTGCGTCGTGTATATCAGTGGCATTTTTGCATCCATCCGACCTCATTTCCTCCACCAGGCTGAAGCCCTTTCAAGACTCTGGTCCTTCAGTTTCTCCTTGTGTCCCCCTTAGCAGTCTGTGAACATGGTTTAGTATATTCCAGTGCTCACATCTCTGCTGGTGTTCCAATAGGATGTAGTTAGGAGAGGACGAGACTCACAGAGGGTTTGCAGGCAGGCTCTACCCAGAGAGGCCAGGCCCATCTATGAGAGCAATGCTGCTAACATATGGCAACCAGGACCTGCCACTCTGCCGAGTCCCAGAGCCCTGAGCTTCCTTCCTATGAAGCCTGGCTGGCACTCTGTGGCCAAAGAAAAGTCAGTCCCTTACTAAAGAAGTCGGCTCATTCTTAAGTAGAGGAAGGTAGAAATCCTGGCTGAATCATAAGATACATTTCTATACTTTTATAGACATTTTTCATATCATTCCATAGATAAGTATATGACATTTTTTTTTCTTCTTAGCCAAACGAAAACAGTCTACATGCTTCTCTGCATTAAGATGGCTATACGTGCAGAAATAATACATGTATATATGTTTATATTTGTGCATATATGTATAACACAACATAAATAAATATGCTGGACACACGGTACAGAAGTCAGCAGGCCTGACTGAGCACACCAGAAGGCCCTGGTGTCCCACTCAGAGCAGGAGGAACTACAGGGAGGGCTCCACTTCCGTCTTCTTACCCTTGGCTCCCTGCTCCTGTGGTGTGCCTGTGGGCTGCTGACTCAGCCGTCTTGCTGTTTGACCCATTCTCCGCCGTGAGTGGTGGGTGTCTTCCCTGCTGGTGCTGAGGCACGTCCTGAAGGAGACAAGGAGCACTGCAGGGTGCTCGCTCTCAGGGTCCCTGATGGTGCCAGTTCTCTCTGCAGTAGCAGCTGACAGGAGACACCAGCCTGGCTCGTTCATTTGGTATTCTGCAAGTACTGCTTTGAACACTTGCCAGCGCTGAGGGTAAATGACGAGCTGAGCTGGGACAAGCCTGGCGCTTCCTTGTGGGCGTGTGCACCTGCCTTTCTGGGAAGACACCCACAGTTCTTCTCAGTACCTCCAGCTCAGTTACCATATCAACCAGCACAGTCTTCTGCGTTACTTGCCGCTGGTGCATAGTATAGGAGTTGGGGGTAGCTGACGAAATTAACGCCTTCAATTTTATTCTCCTGTTCACTATGACATGCTCATGCCCTTCTGTCCTCCAGAACAGGCAAACATCATGCACACGTGTGCATACCTCAGTCGTCAGAATAATGAACAAGTTAGGTGTTACACAGAAAATCTAGGAGGGTGGTCTCCTGGGCTCTTCAGGGAACTCAGAGCACCCAAGTGATTTGGGTGGGAGCATTACTTGGGGACAACTTGAGTAGCATTACAACCTACATGTTGGTTTTTTTGGGGATTTTGTAGGCCAGGTACAAAGCAGAAAGTGCATAGAAGATGTGATTCACTTTGCCTGGGAAGAGAAGCTTTTCCTCCTGGCTGATGAGGTAAGAGCAGTCCCAGAGATGGGTGGGCAAGCTCAGAGAGGGAGGGGGCAAGCCTTCTCTTATAGGGGAGGGACCCAGGTCTGATTATCCTATAGCCAGAGAGAACTTTCTAGGCAGAGTGATTCTGGGTAAGCAAAGGTGAGGATGTTCATTCTTAACCTATGAATTTGGGACTAAAATTATCTCTCTGTTGGCTTGGATTCTAGTTGTAGTGTACACACACACACACACACACACACACACACACACACATACATTCTCCATATATGTAGAGAAAGGGAGACTGAGGCTTTGTTATGTAACCCAGGCTACCCTAGAACTCACTGTATAGGCCAGGCTGGCTTTAAACTCACAGCAACCCTCCTGCTTTAGTCTCCCAGTGTTGACATTACAGGTGTCAGCTTTAAATCACTTTAAACTGGGAGGAGGAGGAAGAGGAGGAGGGTGACGATGATGATGATGAGGGTCACAGATATATGGCAAACTATGTCTTCCAAATCCTTCTCCTTTCATCTCTGTATGTCAACCTCATGCACAGACTGATTATCTTCCCAGCCTAGAAAGCAGCTTTTCATCCCTGTAGTTCCATCAAGTTTACACCTGATTGGTTCAGCTTGAGCCACAATTATTGAACCAATCACTATAGCCTGGCGTTGTAACATGCAAATTGACCAGGCCCAGGCAAGGTGCAAGTTTGTCTGTTCTGCCCTTCGCTAACTTCCACCCAGAAAGCTAGGGAGGGCCGTCCCTGAGGGAAATCCATGGGCTCCTACCTAAGAGTGGGGTGTAGCTGCCCTGTGTCAGCAATGGCTGACGCCACTCTGAAGGTGCAGCTTTGTAGTTCTCATCGTTATCTCATTTACTCTCCGAGCCTGTGAGGATCTCAGGTCTGTAATCGTGAGGCCTAGGCTTGCCCGTTCTTTGTCTGCTTTGGAAGAAAGGAACTGAGGATCCATCGTATTCCATTGCCACTTTACCTTCATCGCTACGTGTTTTCTGGTTAGCCGTAGTTTCTAGAATACTGCTTTCTTTTCTTCTTAAGCATTCCGCTCTATTACCACATTTAAATTGCCATAATTAATCATGGACCTAAAAACCTTAATTTCTAAAGAAAAAGAGGCCGCAGAGAGACCTGGGGGTTCCTTATGACAGTGTACTAACTACCCACTGGTCCAGAAAGCTGATTTCCCTGATGATGGAACAGGCAGGGTGGTCCATGTAGGCTGTGAGTGCTAGATCTAGAGAAAGGGAAGAACAAACTGAGTGTGGGTTCTGCTCTGGCAAAAAGAACAGAGGCAGAGACAAATGATTCCAAACCTCGTAAGTGGCATGAAGGACACCCGATGGCGTTAACCCCTAAAAGAGAGAAAGCAGAGGCAGGAGGCAGCTGACACTGTTTCTGTCACTAGAGGAGTGAACTATGCTGTAGGAGAAGAGTTTGCTTGGGCGGATGGGAGCCCCTGGTGTCATCACTGGCCCAATGCCTTAAACAGGCAGCCTAGAGATTGGGTAGGGGAAGTGTGGGAGATGTCAGGGAAGCTCCTAAACTGTCTTCAGCTGAAGCATCCAGTCCGAGGCTTTTCCCTTGCTTGTTCTGAAAGGTTCCTTCAGGCACATTCTGGCTTCTCTGTGGAAATAAAGCTGGGCTGGTTGGTTTGATCAAGGCTGGGCTTTGTGACCCACATCTGATGACCTGTACTTATTCACGTTGTACCTACACATGACAGGTTCACCCTGTGCACCCCTCTTGGGTGTGGACCCTTGGCTACTCTCAGCCACAGCCTTTACTTGTTCATAGCTTCCAGGAGAACTCATTGCAACTGTCATGTTTCCCCTGCAGGTGTATCAGGACAACGTGTACTCTCCTGACTGTAGATTCCATTCCTTTAAGAAAGTGCTCTACCAGATGGGGCAGGAGTACTCCAGCAACGTGGAGCTCGCGTCCTTCCACTCCACCTCTAAGGGCTACATGGGCGAGTACGTTGACCTCCCCTCCTCTTCTGCCGCTGGCGGGTCTGTTTTCCCAGCACTGCTTCCTTCTGTCTGCCTGCTCCTCTGTTGGCCCTGTGGTCCACCCGCATGCTTGGAAAGCAGCCCTTATCCTTTGCTGCTGCTGTAAGTCAGGAGACAGGCTGCATCTCCCTGGCAAATCTAGTGTAAGAACTATCCTTGTGCAGGGGCTCAGGTCAAATGCAGCCATGCTCAAAAGAAACCAGCCTGTGAGCAAGTGATGGGAGTGAAAACAGGTTCCTCTAGCAGCTCTAAGCTTGGGATCTTGTACTGTAACATGGACGGGATCTGGGGGCCCATGAGGAGAGGAGTTGGGTGGACCAACCCTGTGGACTCAGCTCTGTGTCCAAGGCTGCCTTAGCACAGGGGGGATTATGAGGCCTAAGGGCCAGTTTGGGGCCCATCTTTGTTTGACTAGCATTTCCCAAGCACCCCGAGTTTGCAGCACCGAGGACCCTGCCATCCATAGCCAATACGTTATTGAGAAATGAAGAACTAGGCAAAGAGGAAAGTCATGTGACAGATGGAGAACTGAGGTCACAGAGGAGGTAGAAATGCCAGAGGGTGGGACTGGAGTTGGAAGAAGGGAGACATTTGGGTGAAGAACATTCTAGGTAGAAGGAGTGGTATATGAAGTCTGAAGACATATTTTGCCTAGGTCATGGGAGCTGTCTTCTTAGATTGTTCTTGGCTTAATTTGATGTAGACTAGTGTATGAATTAGGTTTCAGGGTAGGCAGCTGTAACAATATGGCTCTAAAATTTAGAGGCTCCAAAGGGGGTGAAAATGTATTTATTTTTGACATAATGATTCAGACCCCAGGAAGACAAGGCTGCACTCCTTGAGGGCATTTGAGGACCGTGGCTTGTGAGTCTGCTTTCTCAACAGTCTCCATCTCTAGGATGAGCACTGTCTCCACCTCCCTGGAAGCAGGAAGGGAAAAGAAGAAGGAGAGCACTTGCTTTCCCTTGTAGGGAAGTGGCTTTGTCCTATCACATGTTTACCTACCCCTGGCAAGAACTCAGCCGCAGCTGCCTGCCTGGTACCCAGGGTGTGGTGCTGTAGACTCTGGTGTCCAGTCTGCATTTGTGAGGTCTTCCTCTAACTGGTGGGTGTGCTCCCTCTCTTCATCTCCCCAGGTGTGGCTACAGAGGGGGCTACATGGAGGTGATCAATTTGCACCCTGAGATCAAAGGCCAGCTGGTAAAGCTGCTGTCAGTCCGTCTCTGCCCGCCGGTGTCTGGACAAGCCGCCATGGACATCGTTGTGAACCCCCCTGAACCAGGCGAGGAGTCTTTTGAGCAGTTCAGCAGGGTGAGTCTGCTTAGCCTGTCTGCGTCACTGCTGTTGTCACGGTCATGGTAAATTAACAGCCACCACTCCAGGTGGCCATACATTCCGGAGTGTGTCTTTGTGTGTCCGTCCACGTCCATCCTTCAAGGGGCACCCATGATGTTTCTTGGTGGCTGAACCACCCTCATGAGTTAAGTCCAAAAATGCAACAGAGAGTATGTGTAGAAGTGGGAAGACTTTCTGTGTGAATGAACGGACTCTTTTCTCTCATCTGTGTGCATCATAAATGGGTAGGATCCCAGAAGGAGCACCCCATGTCTTGCAGACATTTTTGTTGCTAACCTGAAAAGAAGGGAAAGTAGATAGGAAGAGCAACATCAGTTAAAAAAACAACAAAACCATTTTAGATGGTAGACTCTAAAAGTCAGTGCCCAGATGGTGTAAATGCCCCCCCCCTCTCTCTCTCTCTCTCTCTCTCTCTCTCTCTCTCTCGGGAGGTTGTAGGGAGAGATTTGCTTGTTTATTTTTTGGACACAGGGTTTAATAGCCCTCACTGTTTTTGAATTCATGATCCTATAGCTTCAACCTCCCAAAGGCTAGGATTACAGGCATCTACTACCCCCCCTTCCTTCATCCTCTTTTTTAGAGTAAAATACAAATAAGTAAACTTTTTCTCTTTTTAAATACATGGTTCTAGCCTGCTGTAGTGAATGCGTCTAATTCTAGCACTTAGGAGACAGAAGCAGGAGGATTTCTGTGAGTTCGAGGCCAGCCTGGTCTACATAGTGAGTTCCAGGAGAGCCAGAGCTACAGTGAGACCCTGTGTAAACAAACAGTTCGGTGTCATTAAGGAAAGACATTCAGATTGTGCAGCCATCTCTCCCATCCATCTCAAGAGCTTTTCCAACCTCCCTAATTGAAATTTCAGACCTAGTAAATACATAGCTTCCCACTCTCCATTTCTCCAGTTCCTGGAAGCATGAATTCCTCTCACATTTGTATGTAGGAGTGGACTTATACAATGTTTGTTCTTCTGTGACTGACTTATTCCACTTGGCACAGTGTCCCAGAAGAGTAGCTATCTCTTTGGGATTGAAGGCTGGGTCGTATGTCATTGCATGGACACACCATGTTTCGTTTTTGTGCTCATCTTCAGGGCCCACCTTGTCATCCCTCTTATACGGTAGTACTTGCAGGAAGCCTGATTGATCTGTTCCAGCTTTGGACGCTTTTCCAGCTCTGCTGACTCTGTTCTGTCTGGGTCTGGGTCCATATACACCACACTGACAGAGAATACTATCTGTCTGTCTGTTCCTCTGTCTGTCTGTCTGTCCCTTGATTACATCATGGGGCTGGGCTGATCTCCAGGGGGATCCATGACTCTCATAGAAGTGTTTCTAGGGTATTCCACCAGGGTCAGGGCCATTCAGACTGAATGAAAAAAAAGAAATCCCTAAAGAAAGACGTCTATCTGTCCATGTCCACCCCCTTCCCCTTGTCCTATTCACAGTGCCGTGCACACACAGTTCATCTCCTGTCAATGTGTTCTATTGCCTATGTGTTGAAAGAAGAGCCTTCCGTAGCTTTTCTAGGAGTATTGATATCTGTGCTTTCTGTCCGTCATCAGGAGAAAGAATTCGTTCTTGGAAATCTGGCCAAAAAAGCGAAGCTGACAGAAGATCTCTTTAACCAAGTCCCAGGGATTCAGTGCAACCCCCTGCAAGGAGCGATGTATGCTTTTCCTCGGATCCTCATTCCTGCCAAGGCTGTGGAGGCGGCTCAGGTCAGTGGAGAGCTGGCTGTCTTCCTGGATTCACTTGAGCTGTCTGGGTCAGGGTTGGCTTTTTGCTTTGGCGAACAGCGGTGCTGGCCTCGGGGTTCTGGACTCTGATCCTCTTGGACAGCTTCTTAGTCGCAGCTGCCGCAGAGTATGGTGGTGTGAGGCAAGCAGAGGCTAACCCCAAGTGGGAGTCCAGTGTGGCCAGTGCTGCCCTGCGGGTCGGGGCGTAGCTCAGTTGGTAAGCTGTTAAGACACGCTGCTTGCAGAAGATCTGAGTCTGGCTTCCAGCACCTACGTGGTGCCTCACAGCCATCCATAACTCCAGTTTTAGGGGAGCCAACACCTTGTTTTGTTGTCTGAGGATATACGCATAGTACGCAGTCCGACATCCGGGTAAAACACTCATACACATAAAATAAATTTAAAAAATATTAAAGCCACAAGACATGCTGGTTCTGAAAGGCAGGACCCGAGTGGGGTGTGATAGTGACGGTGGAGAAGCAATGAGTCCTCCCCTCCCCCGCCGTTGCGTCCTGCAACAGTGATTCCTAAGCCTGAGGATGCCCAGTGGGTACCTTGGATTTGGGGAAGAGCCACTTCTAGTTCACGGAGGCTTTGAGGAGTTGAGCCTGTACCTGCAAGTCCTCAGATGGTGTTGCAGACCCCACTTCGAGGTTCAAGGGCAAAGCACTATGTCTGAAAGTAGCATCCTCATGCTGCCCTGGAATACCTGACTACCTTGTTAGACAGTCGCTGGGAATTCCCAGACACAGAATCAGACGCCCAGTGTCAGAACCTAGGCATCCCAGGGACTGTTATATAACCTTCTGTATTTGTTGCTGTTTTCATTGCTGTGACCAAACACATGACAAGGTACAATGTAAGGGAGAATGGATTTATTTTGGCTCCTGGTTTATGAGTATGGCCGTCTATTGTAGATGTAACCAATCGTATTATTAAAATAAGAA